TCCGAGTACCCGGACACGAGTCGATGGTATGTGCGCATTGGTCCTCTACAGGCACAGTAATCGGGTAACACTGCTGCCGACGTACCAGCCTCGTGAATTCATCTGTATATACAGCGCATAGGGATGCACTCACGTCGTCATAATCGTCTTCGTCGCCGAGCCTCGCCAGAGAGGTACCGTTCACATAGTCCACACCAGGCAGACTCCGCTTTCCAAGTGCCCCGGGCTGCGTACGGACCGAGTAGACCTGACCGTAGCGACTGTACGACAAGAGAATGCAATTGACGGCAAGGGATATAACGAAGAGGAACTTGGGCGCAGCGTACCCCATGTTGACGGAGAGAGAGGAAGAGGCCGCTACCAGGCTAAGGCATGCGAGCTGGTCGCATGAGAGTCCGCAAATGAGCCTCGCGAGTCGCCGCCATACGACCCCGGGCGCTTCGTGGGAGCCGTAGTTGGCGCCCGAGCGTTGCCGCCGAGTCGATCTTCGTCGAAAGTGGTGCTGGTACGTAGTAGCGAGACGCAGCCATGTACGCTGCGAGATCAAACCCATCCTAATTTTCCGGACGGGCACCTGAGTCACTGTGAAATGCGAGAGACAATGCGAAACAGATTGCGTTTGATTGGAGGCGCACGGACTTCGGAAGAGTCTCAAACTTCGGAAACACTTATGCAGCCTGGGGTGTCCATCATGTCTTAAATACCGCATGCGAGACTTGCAGGACAAGCAGGGTTCGTCTGAAATCAGGTGGATGACCAGAGGAGCGGTACATTGCTCCTGGGTTCCGATCATCCAAAAGGGAAGGCCAGCTGCCGCATACGGAAAGGCTCTGCTTCCATTCAATAGTAACACATGTGATATCCACATCCCGTACACTTCTGACAGTGCGCCTCAGGCCCAAGAGCCCGCCTTGTTTTTACATATTGACCATCAGACTACCAACTGTCGCGTCAAACAAGTGAGACGAGACATATCTGGTAAGCCCGCTATCTCTACACACTATCAATCCACTATGTCGTCCAAAAAACAGTGTGCTGTAGCTCATTCATGCGGCTTCCCAGATAAATATCAACGTCCGGTTTCAGAGTGATGATGATGAATCGATGACGTCTGAGTTCTGCAGTTACCAACTCAACAAGATCATCTCCATGGAATGCAGCAACCACAAACGTTAGCTACCGCGCGACAACTTGAACGGTGCGCGTTGAAAGAGGTCTTGATGCGAGGGTCGATAGGAAGGAGCACGAGAATCCTGCGACGGCCCTACTTGGTGGGATGATACTAACCAGAGGCCATGGAAGGGCGAAACAAACGATTGCATTGGACGCCGATGTAAACGTTGCCTAAGGACGATTGGTCCGCTGCGTCGGAAGCCCAACAGCTATCACAGGCACTCGAACCGTGATGCATTGATGTACGACTACCTAAGCCTTCGCGGAGTCATTATCCCACCGCAGTCTTCCACCATCGCTATCGACGCCTTCATGATGAAATACAGACTGGTAGTACTTACCTGCTCAGCCGTATACATGATTTGGAGCACTTCACCGTCAGCGACACGTGCACAAGGTCAGTCCTAATTTCGCTGAGCCCTCGAAGGAGCCGTGCACCTCAGTAAGTGAAAGAGGCACTTGTTCACCGCCGTTCTTCCATTTGGGTATCAACTGACAGTGCTAATAGAGAGGCCTGTCAGTAATGATGAACACCGCTCGACTTGATACCAATCCGTCATACTGACGAGCGTGAGTGGGCGGTTCAGGGAACTGAAGGAGTCCCAATGCAGTCATTAGCTGCCATGAGCTCCGTCCTGCCCGAATGAAGCACTGCCCAAAAGATCGGAGGCCGTATGCGCGCTCGGTGGCATACAGCCTCTGGTCGCCTAGACAAAGTGTCTAGGCCGAGGACAACATGGATGTGAGAGATAAGACTGAAGAGTCTCTCTGTTCGTCATGATGAATCTCTCGTGCCATGGCGGACACCGCTGAGCAAGCCCAACTCACACTCTCCCCTGATAATCCGCGCAGAACGACCATCACAGGCGAGAATGGGCGGGTTTTATATGTGACAGGGACGAAGGATAAAGTAGACGAGTCCATAACGGAGGTTATCAACGCGGAGAACATCGCCATTGCGTCGCTGCGCAGATCAATAACGAAGACTCACCATGTGTGGATGATTTCGTACCGTGGCGAGTTGATAAAGCCAATGCATGAATGGATGCGTAGCAGTTTGAACCCGCTGGATAAGTGAGTTGTTATCTGACCCCATATAATGGCCTCCTTTGAGGAACGGGATCCAGCGGCAGGAATTTCAAGGATAATGCTGGCAAACAATACAAGTGGAACGGACAGTCAGTTGAGGACGAATTTCAGGTGAGATTCAAATGCTAATTATTTCACTATGGAAGCCTTGTTAAGTACCGCCGTTCTCGAACCAGTTATTCTCGAAGCAGGACGGCTATAAGCATCCCATTGCAAGCTTCCATAAGTCTGGGTTGGATCGGAGGGTCAGCCCGCCGGCCCACGTCTCGGCGAGGCTGGTCATATCGCATCGCGCAGCAAATATAACGGACCTTATCGTCTGCTCATTCCTGTTTCTTGAGCTGGAGAAGAGGGCTGTCACCGAGTTACCCCCAGTCTCCGTCCAGTTGAGCGGGATCGGTCTGTCGGCGAACATCACCGGGGGCCTCGCGTCGATTTAATATGTCGGCTCTAGTTTGCGACAATTTTATTGACATCAATAATAGTGAAGCGAGAACATCTTGTGAAGCCTGTATTCTGTACGTTGTACGAGGTGGGTAGCATCACCGTAGTCTATCTGAAGTTCATATGTTCCAAATTTGGGAAGCGAGACCTTTTGATCCTACTTAACAACAGCAAACAATTACGCATTTCGGCGACCACGCCGATGCTGTCGCCATTCGTGGCGTTGTAGTTCCTGAGACCCAAGTTCTCAGTTCATTGACTGGGTCGACAGTCTGCTGACCTATTTAAGTTAAAAATGCTCCTTACGCTGAATGCAGCATCCAGTTACCACAACTCGCCAGGCATGACTGCATGCACAGCGTCATTCTCCGCCTCTGCGCCTACAGCACGAGTGAGTCTCCATATTTCCCCAGTGTCGGTCGAAGGGGCCTGTATCATTGTCTGTCTCCCGCAAGCTACGCTTCTGTTCTGCTGAGCAGTAGTATATGAGGTGCGTTACGTGTCCCTTGCGTGCAACGGAACTGGCTGAAGGTGCATATAGCAAGACACAGCCATGTCCGAGCACCGCGCACCAAAGGATGGTCTCATCCTCGCCGTCAATGCGGGGTCTGCTTCTCTCAAGATATCCTTATACCGCCGCGCGGAAAAGAGTTCCAGTACCTCTAGGCATGGCGTCGTCGAGCTGCTCCTGACGTCCAGCATCACCAGCATCTCGTCGCCTCCTGCTTCGTTCACATTCAATCTCGCGTCTCATAAAGAGGGCGCGAGGCGAAGAATGTATCCGCAGAGGGTATCAAGGACCACGCCTACTTCCTCAACCACCTGAAGAACGAGAGTAAGATTGCCAAGGGGTCCATCGTGCACGTATGCCATCGTGTCGTACATGGTGGCGACTACTACGAGCCTGTCATCATCGATTCTGAAAGTTATCATTACATTGAGAACCTATCTGATCTCGCACCTCTGTACGTCAGTTCTTTAAATACAGCATGGATATTCGTGAGTAACTGTACCGTCAGCCATAATGGCGCTGCACTCTCGGTCATGAAGAGCGCCATCGAGGCTCTTCCAAAAGCCAGTTCAATTGCCTACTTTGACACCTCGTTCCACCGGTCTCTCCCGCTACACATAGCAAGCTACGCCATAAATACGGAGGTTGCGCAAAAACGTGGTTTGAAGAAGTACGGGTTTCATGGTCTGAGTTGTAAGCATTCGATGGTTTGTTTGTCGTGCATCGTCTGTGCCAGACTAATGTGTAATTTCAGACGCATACATCCTCGGTGCTGTTGGCTACTACCTGCAGAAGGTACGCCGTTGCCTCGGCATGTGCAGACAGCTCACCAACTTGACCAGGACACGTCTAGTCTCAATCTCATCGTCATGCATCTTGGTTCCGGGGCCTCTATCTGCGCCATTCGGAACGGACGGTCGCTCGATACGTCGATGGGACTCACACCCGTCTCCGGTCTCCCGGGCGCAACACGCAGCGGGCTCGTCGACCCGTCTCTCATCTTCCACTACACGAACCGCGCCGGAAGGATCACCCACGATCCGAGCCAGGCCGTCGACGTACGCGTGACACAAGCCGAAGAGATCCTCAACACCGAGTCCGGATGGAACGCGCTCACGGGCACGTCTGACTTTGGCGAGGTTGTCAAGCACATGAAGGAGCACCAGCAGACGGACGCGACTGCTGGAAAAAATGTTGCGGACTGGAAGAGCGACGCCAAGTGGAAGCTCGCCTTTGACCTGTTCGTGGACAGAATCGTCGGTTTCGTGGGCTCGTATTACCTCAGGCTTGGCGGGAAGGTTGACGCACTCGTCTTCTCTGGTGGTATTGGTGAGAAGAGCGCGGAGCTCCGAGAGGCCGTCGTCCGAAGCGCGGAGTGTATCGGCTTCCAGCTGGACCAAGCGGCGAACGCAAAGGCGAGCAAAGAGGAGGGCGCGGTGTTAAATGTTGGTAAGAGGGCGGACTTCTGCCGTGTGCGCATGTGTAGGACGGACGAACAGGTGCATGGTTTTGTGCTCCTGGATTGCATGTGGTGTTTTTTCATTGCCTTGGATAGCTCGAGATGGCAAAGGAATCTGCCCTGGCTGAAAAGTTTTGGCAGTGAAAGTGGTGAGCGCATACAATCATTGTCTGCACAAAGTCTCAGTAGTTATTGTACTTTGATTCGCCCTCAACGAACTATAGATAGCAGTAAACTCGTTGTAAGCCACCCTTGTGTGATTGTGGCAAGTGTGGGTTCCTTCCTGTTCCTTGCCCCCGTCCTTGCAAGAAAAAGCAAAAGAAATGCCTATTGCCTGGATCGAACAAGCGACCTCACCATTACGTAAGCCGAGCTTGTTCGAACTAACAAGTGGTACGAGTGGCGCGCTCTACCACTGAGCTAAACAGGCACTGGTTTAGGGCCCTTAAGATAAACTATAGAGATCATTGCCTTCCTCTGGTAAGTAAGTATTCGTGTCACGCTGCCTCACTGACGTCATTCACAGTGTTGTTGGATTTGGACTGATGTCGCTGAAGCCGTGTTTTGATTTGGGACTTGATGGGAGCACGTCAACAACATGTCCCTGCATACAATATGTATACATCATTGCCATGGCCGCCTCTCCTGCATTCCCATCCAATACTCTCGGCTATTCTACCCCTGCCCCACAATGCCCGGTCTACAAATTTTGAAGCCCAACCCCCCTCCCGATTTCTCGCAGCTGCCTGGCTCAATACTTGATTTTAGTGTCTTGCTAGAGGTCAGAGGGACACTCTCCAAGAATGAGCTGGAGGCAATCTTGCAATTCAGGTGGGCAGCGGACCACATTGCAGCTGTTAAGCAATCATACTACTGGCTATGACATGATCCCATGTGATGCATCTGCCTTGTTATGCAGCTTGCTGATCAGTCCATAGCTATGATATTCCTGAAGAGGGGTATCCTGGAAATGTGTGACCTCATTAAGGATGACATCAAGCAATGGCTCCTCAGACACTGGGGGATGTGCCCTGGACTTGTCCTTATCTATGTTGCACACTTATTGTCCATGCAGTGGACTGTGCTATCAACTTACCTGTTAGGGGTGTTGAGGGCTTGAGGCACACAAAGGTTGTGGATATGACCTTGGGATTGAGTGCTATGCTACAGGGGTTTATATACACCTAGGAGGGTCACTTAGTAAGCTACTGTATAGTACATCAGCAAACCGTGAAATTCTCTGACGGCGCCTGAGACACCTGGTGCCACCTGAGGCACCTTAGATGCATCTGATGTTGAACAAGGAGTGGTGTAGCGCAGCTGAAGGCAAAGCTACAAAGGAGCAAACAAATACTCCAATAGAATAGAGGACTTACAACAGATCTCTAAGGCTGCTGAGAGGGAAGGCTCAGGAGGCGTAGAATGAGAGGAGAGATTGTTACATTACAGGGGCATCCAGCCCAGTATATATACACATGAGGGAGCCACCGCATGATTGTACAGTAAGTGTAACAGCATGACATCATAATGGTGCAATGAGCAATGATGCAATAATTGCATCATGGATGGAACGTACTGGAAAGGACTGTTACAAGGGTACTATATTCGTTGAGCGTCTCCTCCCCATTTCTTTATTGTGTT